AGGAAGAGGGGGACTTGAAGGAAGGTGGTGATTAAGAGAGAGAGCTTATGTGTGGCAAAAAGGGGGGAGTGTGTTTGAGTATTTTTGCTTTAAAAATTATAGGGCGCTACTCAAAGTGCCACAAGCATGTTTTAACCCAGTTTTATTATACGCAAATATACAGGAATAAACACGATGATTCTGTAAATAGTCTGACTTAGTTCTCTTTGAAACACAGAAAGGTGTACTAAACTGGGATAACTACTCCGAACAACAACACTGTGCTTATTCAGAAGAAAAGAGCAAAAAAAAAAAAAAAAAACCCTGAACAAGGGAATGTTTCTGTGGTTTACACTCAGCAGCCTGCTAAATAGAACAATTGTTTCACTAACAGCCATTTATTTGACCTTAAGTGCCTGGTGCTGATACAGGAGATTGCTGCACCTGTACACAGACCTCGCCTGAAGCCAACAGAGTCTCCAACTGTTGCTGCTTGACAAGGGCCATCCATAAACACATTGTAGTGAACCTCTTCCTTTGAAGTGTGAACTAAATCAGGCTGAAGACTGAAAACAACAAAAAGGTGGAACCTGTATAAATGCATCTGTCGATTTTTAAGCCACGGCGGTGGTATTACAGGCTAGCCCTGGGGCTGGGAAAAAGTGTGTCTGGGCTCACCCTGTGTGGGAGGAATACGCTGGTTTGAGAAACTGACACTGTTAGGTGTGTGTGGGCTCAGATCCAAGGACCTGAGGCTCCTTATTCCCTGGTATCAATAACTACTGTAGATAGGTGTTGCTGCCCAAACAGCTGGTTCTTGGCAAAGAGGTGCCAGTATGATAGAAATACCAGGAACCTAAAGTGTCTGACGGTAATTAGGCACAACACTTACGACAGGAAGAAAAAAACAAAACAAACAAACACTGTTTGTTTTTCAAAGACAGACTTATAGTAAGACACCAGACAGATATTTAAACTCATCAGTATGGCAATAGTGTCTGGTCCTTGGTGAACTTAAGATTTGACTAACTAAACTTCTCGGTGAAGTATGACTGCCTTTTTTTTTTAAAACTAAAAACAAGGCCATGAGCAACAGCTTCTATCCGCTCAGCTTCATTCAAACAGCCTTGTGGATGAATCCAACAGCTACAAGGACATTGCACTGGGGAAACTCAGTGGCTTGTGTAACAATACCTCACAAACACACACACAAAACAACCCCCCCCCCTCAAAAAACAAGCTCACACTCAGACAAAATCATTTGGAATAAAATGGCAACAGAAGTAAACAGGATCATTAAATATGTTTTCAAGAAACAACATGGTGAGGAGTGTAAAAGAAGTTGTGGGGGAAAAAAAAAGAACAACAACAAAAAAAAACTACTACTGAGAAACTTTAAGACACCACATACCACTGGCATCAAGAAATAACTGTGTTTATCCCTTTTTTTTGTTAGCTGGTGCAAATTCTCAGCAGGTGTCACTAATTGTTATCTTGACAACATCATTCTTTACTATAGTGTCAGCTTGAGAGCTTAGCCTTAAAATTCTGGTTTCAATTTCGTGAAAACTTCCTCGCTCACGTTAGAAATGGAAAAAAATGAAGACTCACGAAATGTGCTTGTCTAACACGTCTAAATGACATCAGCCCCTGAAGACAGCTCCTTTTCACTCAACGTGTGGAGACGGGAGAGGATGACGTGCTTTGACTCTGACATTCTGGGAAATAAAAGGTTAAGCTAAATATCAGTAGGTTGGGTTAAGCCATTGAGTACAGCACGGGGAGATGTATTGGACATGCCCGAGCATTCATCAAAGTTCAGTCCGGTCTCTCATCATCCCCATCAAGCTACCTCGCTACATCAATATTCTAGTATGCAGAGTCCCACTCTACACTATTCTATCATATCCAGCAGCGAGTGCGCGTGAATGTGTGTGCATGTGATAGCAATAGCCTCTCTGGTGAAATAGGACTCTCTGGGGGCTTGTGCCTCAACTCTACAGCCTTTGTGGGCCCCCATTACTTCTGACAGATAGAGATCACTAAACTGCTGAACAAACACCCCATTCAGTCATTTGCATACATTACAGTAATGGAAAGAGAAAAATGTATCAATAAAGCCAAATGAAGTGCTTCCACTAACCTCTCTCTTTCTTTCTTTCTTTCTTTCTTTCTTTCTTTCTTTTTTCCTTTCTTTCTTTCTTTCTTTCTTTCTTTCTTTCTTTCTTTCTTTCTTTCTTTCTTTGTGGTTGAATTCCTTCTCATATTATTTAGTGGAATAATTTCCTCTGAAAGGTAATCACATCTAATGAATGACAGAAATGACAGATTCTTAAAAATAAATAAATAAATAAATGTTTGCATCGGAAATGTATCTGACTTTCTAATGTGAATAATTTCTCAATTTCTGAAGCCCAAACAAGGAGCACTAATCATGCATGGTGGGGGGGAAATAGTAACAAAAACAACACATAATGTATTGTTGAAGTTTTAATTAAAACTATGCTGCTTTGGGGCACATTTTACATTTAAAATACCTTGCAGTGACCATGGCCTGCTGAAATTAATCTCAGCAAAAACTGACAAGAGTCACACTGAAACAGAGGCACATGTAGTCACCTACACATGCACTGTAAATTACTCTCCCCCGTTCTCTGCCTCCCTCTGCAACACACACACACACATCCAAAGCACACACACAAATGCAGACTGACTCATTCATCACAGTGCCCAACAGTCAAGACAACAGAGCTTCACTTAACTTTTTCAGGGTTGCTCAAGCATCAAATGCATGACTTTTAGCTGTTGTTGTTCTTCCATCTGTCATGCTTCAAGGAACCAACATCCTTTTTCCTAATCCCAGGATAAAGTTTAAAAAGGTATGTTTGCCTTGACTCTGCTATCTTACGTGCACCAAAGGAAATGTCAACCCAAAATATACAGCGCTGTATTTCACACTGTCATTGTTCCAACACTTAGCTGTGCAACACAGATTAGAGTGCTACCTAAGCTCATTGCAAACACTGGTACTAAAAACCTCAGCAAATCAAGCAGTCTCCACTTTCTATCTCTTAATCTCTCTGTTTGCTCCGTGTGTGTGTGCGTGGTTTCATTTCATCGCCGTGCTCGCACAAAACAACCCAACATCTGATATCCTTAGGAGGTTTGAAGTGGTAGAAAAATTGTCCTGGGTGACAAACTTCAGAGGAGCGAGCTAAATTAAGACACATACACACGCGCGCATGTTTACACAGACATACACAATCACCCTAATGCAACAAACAAACCCACACTATCCCAATTCTCTAAATGCACTGAGCCAAATGTGATTGCATACTTCTATTAGTTTGTACTATACTGTGAACATAAAGATGAAACAACTCAGAGGGCGAAAACCTGTGTTTTCTAGTAAAAAAAAACAAAACATCTTAACCACATAATATAACTGCAACATAATTTCCCTGACAATTTGCTAATATGATTACACTATTATTAACTTTAAGACATTATTATGCACAGGTAGATAATTGAGGGAATGAACAAGCATGAGGTTTTCATCATTTGACACATCTTTGTGCATCCATGGGTCAGCATCTCGAAAAAAAACGCTGTAGTGAAAATTATGATTAAAAATCTGTATACAACAAGGGGAAGGAAACCGCTGTACCATTAACCATCATGAAAAAATGGAACACAACACAGATGGAGAATGAAATATATATGCTTGTTAGTGCTTTTCTTACCTGTGCCTACTTTAAATAAGGCAAGATCCAAAAAAAGATCTTATTAAATCCTACTAAGCCTCCTTCCTGGCACAAAAAACTCGATCAGGTGAGGTGCGGAGAAAGAAGGGGGGTGGGGGAGAGAAGGAAGTGGGGTGTTTCAGGTCATGCCAGCCAGTTTCTCTCTGGTACTCTCTGGGGAGGAACTCCAGACAGTGAAGGAGAGCCATACTGCAGTATATCTACACTTCTCCATTTCCTCTCACTCAAGCATCTAGTTCTCGAAGGAGCCTGCGAATCGATACTGACATTGGGGGGCAGAGCGGCTTTCTTGCCTGCCCGCTTTGCTTCCGAGCCGCTGCCAGGGAGGTCTCTGCTTCAGTTTTTTTAATTATACAAATTTAAATGCCCTTCTTTGACTGGGAGCAGATTGGTATTTTGTTAGGAGGCTATTGCTCTTATACCACCCAATGTGCAAAGTCAGTCTAAATAAATCGGAGATAAGGGAAGCCAAAATCAGTTTAATGCTGTCTTATGTATGACAACCTAGCATATGGAAACACATGCATGCTTTTTACATGACTCTAGAGCAATCCTTTCTTTTCTTTATGATGTTAGAGACAAAGAAAGAAGATCCTACTGACTGCTGTACTGTTTTTCTTTTTCCACAAAAGGCACCCCAGCCTCAGGGTATTGACAACAGACTTGATTTTCACCATTGATCAAACCTATACAGTGAGGACCTCTCCTCTCAGAAAGGGCATTCAAGAAAGTGCAGAGACATGGCTAATTCAATTTGGGAGCAGAAATGCTTGGGTTTAAGTGAAACACTCTGTTATCAAAACAGGAGAGGTGCCATGAGAAAAGATAGTGCACGGATGGTTGTGTGGAGAGGCTTGTGGCCGGTCAGGAGATGAAATCAGGAATAGGCGATAAGTTGGTGTGAGGGGCTAGAGCCCCTATTAGAGTCCCCCAGGGGACAGGCAGCAGTGGCAGAGTGCAGTAAAAATAGCCAAGGGCATGATTTCACTCTTGGGACCCAGGGAGGAGTGAAGAGGGAGATCTGATCAACATCTCACAGCAAGGCAGCCAGATCCATTCCCTAAGTTCCCTAGGGTGCCACCTATCACACCAAGTGACTTAAACTGCTTACCACTGCCAGGCAGAACACAAACAGCACACACCTTTGCCACTGCTGTCGACAAAATAGGACAAAGAATGGTCTAATATGCTTCAGTGCATACGTCGTTGAAGAGAAGCCTGCGCATGGTGTGGAACTGGCCGCAATAAAAAGGATATAGACATTTTTTCCACAAACTTATCTTGTTGGTCATCTGTTTTGGGGAAGTTTTCGATGTCGTTCTCGAGCCTCTGAATGTGGCGCTCCATGGTGGTCAAGCTGGTCTTTAAGATCTCAGCAGACACTGTAGAAAGAAGGACAACAAAAGGAAATTAACTGATTAGTAACAAATAGTTGGACTCACACTGGGGATATGGACAAGTAATTCTCCATGAAAAACAAAACAACACAGATCCCCTAAAACTTGAAATGGACCAGCTATGTCCAAGTATGTTGTGACATACTGACTCCTGCATAATCCAGTTGTGTATGGCCTAGAAAGCAAGCATGCATTAATGTGTGTGTACAGTACGTGTATGTGTGTGTGTGTGTCTGCAGTGGCTCATTAATCAGTCTGTAATCACTGTTTGCAGAGTTGCTGTGGAATCCACAGTATTCAGATCAGGCCTTTCAAGTAGAAACTTCAAACAGCAAACAGCGTCTTAGGGGATCAGACAGGACAGGAGCACGGATGCAGTACCATGTTTAGGTTGCTGTTAAGGGTTTAGTTTTATTGACATACACACAACCTCCTGCACACACACACACACACACACACACACAACGTCCTGCGCACACACACGCATGCACAGATATAAAAATAGTTAAAAATAACTAGCTAAAGAGTAAAAAAACACATTAAATTAAACAATTAAAAAAGTCAGCAACTAAAATGTGTACCTTGATCTCTTTCAACATAAACTTTTATGTCATTAATATTTGAACTGCAGATATACATTTTCTTTGATTGTAAAGGCTTTGTCGATTCACATTGATGTTGGGTGTATTTAGTATAAAGAGTACTTGATTGAAAACCTTTCTGTTTATTTCCACATTAAATTGGTTGTGATATTCCTGTACAGGTAAAGCCCTTGGCCTTTCAGCCACAAACAGACAACAGACACAAAAAGGATAGAAATCAAGCCACCACTGAGGCTTAAAAAACGTTGTTGTCAATCTGTATGTTCAAAGGTAACATTGCACTGTGTTGGAAGGATGAGTAGGTATACAAAAGAATCTGGGCTGGTGGCGAAGCCAGGTGAAGGATGAAAAGATCGATGCCTGCGCACTGAACTCCAAATCACAAATGTATTTAAGTAGGCAGCATTTCAAACTCAATGAGATGTTCACTCTGACAGAGACAGATAAGAAGCAAGGTGAAAGGTTACGAGGTCATAAAAAAATAAGCAGTTTATTTTGCTCTTCGAGACTATGTGAGTGAGGAGCTGCATTTATTTAAAACTCAATGGTTGGACTGGTACAACATGAAAGGTCACAGGATCACAAAACCTCGAAGATTCTTCCTCCTGGGAGAGTTAACGTGAACAGCAAATCTCATTCCAGTCCAGTTTTGATTTCCAGCATGCTGGTTAAAGACAAACAGACAAGCAAACAGATGGATGGAGGCAATCGTGCAACAACCAACTTGCCAGAAATGAAAAACGAAAACCCCTCCCCAAAAAAAACAAAACAATAAACATGCTCTGCTGCATGAATGATATAATCCACTGATATGACTGATCTTGCTCTCGCTGGTGTCTATGAAATTAGAGTGACTGAGCAAATGATGAATGTCTGGCTTTTCACCAGTCATGACCAGGAAATCATTTGCATTACACATACGCAGCAATTTACCCGTTTTGCTTTGCAGCTAGTCATTAGGATTTGTTTCAAACATTGATTGAATACCAAAATTGGCATCAATAAGGACAGCTTTTATTATTTAACCTATACCACATTGACATCTGCAAGGTTAGTCCGTCGCCTTCACTGTAACTGAAGTGCTAAGGAAGTGAGAAGTGGGATAATAGACAAGCTGTCATCCGACATGGCCCTGGTGACATAAGGGTCAACCTCGTCTTGCTTTACATCGGTTCCACAGCTTGGGTTTGCTCTTTGTCTCATTTTCTGACAATAAGATTGGATGGCAATATTGTGGATCACACGCACTCCCGGTACACTGAAACAACCACTGACACAAACAACAGCGTCTACGGTGCGTTCCCCCACTAGGACACACAAATGCACACACATTCACGGATGCACACAAACTGCCTGCTGTGATCAGACTAGAAGCAATACAATAAGAAGGAGGGGTGAGGTCACTGTCATTATTAGACTTTTCAGCTAGCTAGCTGGGTAGACAGACTGGGAGATTCGCAACCCCTCCTCCTCAATTCTCGCGGAACGGACTCCTGGGAATGACAGTGAGAAAACCACACTATCACATAGCCTGTTTCTCCACTGATGGGGCCTCTGAGATCCACATGCTCTTGTCACTATCATCTCTCCCTCACTAATGGTGTAAGAGGAAAGTGAACAGTGAGAGAGCCGGACAGACAATGCAAAAAGAAGAAACAATTACATTTGCGTCGGACAAAGGGAAGGTGTTTGTCATTTATTGTGGCTTATTAGCTGCTTGATGCTTGAGTGACGGCGTCGGGTAACGATTTGGCTGAAGCGCTGATTACAGTAACCGCAGTAGCCAAGAAATAGTGACTCGAGCGAGCTGCAATGGTGTTTCAGGGGAGCTCTTTACAGGATCAGAGTGAAGCCATGGGACTAAAGTACAGACTATTGTTTTCATGGGAATAGCTCACCACTGAGACAAGCTGACACACATAAATACACCAGCTTAAGTGTATATAATATTTCAACCTTCACTGTGACTAAAATGTTGTTGTTTTTTTGTTTTTTTTTATACACATTTCCGATGCTATGGGCCAGTCTATGCTTTTTAGAAACACATGTTTATTATTATTACCACCCTTCTTTGCTCTAATAATCAAGTGTCTACAGACTCAGGCACGGATTCTTTAGGGATATCATTAGTAAAATTACCACAAAAATAACACAGCTATTTTCAGGGGACAAAACATGGCAACACTGGTATCTTCTAATACACATTCCAAGTGGATCAGAGGAGAAACAGAGGGGATGGGGGTTTGTGTATTGCAATGACGCCTGTAAGGAACTCAGCGCAAGTGTCTTTTAAGAATACATATATTTTAGAACAATAGAAATGACTGTGCAGGTTGAGTGATGTATGGGGGACAACAAAGAGTACAGGGAAGACAAAAGCCATTTGAAAGACAAGACTCTAACTTGTTTAAATAACATAGAAAAAAAACCTCGAAAACTCCGGTCAACATCCTTCATTCATTGATGTGAGCTTAGTAATACTGGCCGCTGATGTATTGTTCACTCCTAAGAACAAAAGACAGATGAAACATATTTCATTAAGCTTTGCCCTGTTTCCTTCAAATAGACTGCAAGGGGAAAAATATTGTGTAGCACACAATACCGAATCAGCCGCTATAATGTGAAGATGTCAACTTTCTATTCAGTCATTTGTAGAAGGGGGCAATTTTCATTTTGATTTATAGACAAATAATACCAATCTTTCAACCAGTGCTCTTGCAATGCTGCCAAAGGTTACAAAGGAAATTGAGATTTATTTTGAACGTTGCTGCCAATGTAGCATAAAAGATCTGTTTTAAATAATCTACACACTTGTGAAAACAAAGACAAATGCAACATAAAACCAAAAGAGAAGGTCATTCATGAATACATTTATCACCTTAGCCAAGGAAGTACATGTTTCTGGGTGTGTGACAAAGGGGGAAAAGACAGACACAACATAGAAGACAGTGAAGATATGCTTATGATACAGGATATGTCTTATAGGGTTTTGTTTAGAAATCATATTTCACATTGATGCGTTTATTTAAATATACCTGTAAAACAAACAATTAGGATGAGATTAATATCCTGAACATATTGAAGGACCACCTCAACAGTCCTTCACATAGATCTTAAGTTGCGAAATGTAGGTCTTAAGGGTGTGGAAAAGGATTGATTTATTTCAACTGGCATAATTTGGACATATGTATATGGTGTAAAAGCAGCAATGTTTGACTTCATAGGTGCTCTACCACACCAGGGACCAAGGGAAGGACAAAAAGAAATACATCAACATCAACATCAAAACAATTAAGGGGCAGACCTTGTTAAGTATTCATATATTATAATGATATATTTTATTTTTCTGGCCATAATGACATTACTACTTCATATAGGTATTCCAGAGAACATGTATGTACATAGCATGAAGTGTTTTGGAGAATATAGATGTTAAAACAAGAGTTGCCCAAAGTAGTCGACTACTAGGTGTTAGTTCAAGTAAACAGTCAGGTAGTTTCTGCACGTTTAAGTGGCAAATATTTATCTAGGCTATATAATGTCAGTGCAAACGGCCATGCTATGTACCTCATGTTACAATAAAAGCGAGAGCACCCCTGCGCAAAATTACTTTCAATCAATGTCAAATTATTTCAAATTGCACCACCTCCCAATAATTGCATTGTTTCTAATTTGACAAGTGAAGTATTTTGTCTTATGAACAATCCAAATTGAAAATACAATGAAACTCTGTGATCACTGACACATAAGTTAGAAAATCTGTGATCACTGAAACAAAACCGAGTACAGCTGTGATTTCAAATTAGCCTAATTGCATGAACATGGGTATAAAATCAAATGTGAATATAAGAACCCACATAAAGTGCACTACTTTCACAATCTACCTCTGAAAAACAGAAGGGCAAGTGCACCAGACTTGGCACAGGGGCTACCAATGGAAGTCAGAGTTTCTGTGATGGCTCAGACAGTGCGGAGGACAGAGCGTGATGTCAACCGCTATGGACAGCATCGAAGAAAAAAAACGGACTTTGCTGTTTGGGACAAAACTGCAAGAGGAATATTTGCTCTGAGAAGAAGCCTGGTGCATACTGGCAGCACATTCTTTGGTCAGATGACACCAAGATAAATATGTTCAGTTCAGATGGAGTATCAAATGTTTGGTATGAATCTGACCATGGCTTCTATGCTGAATCCACAGTCCTGACAGTGAAGCACTGAGGTGGCAGTGTGACTTCCATGAGTGTAAACGGTGTCATGGAAGTGAATTGTAGAGATGACACCATAAATGCCTGCATATACCAAAAATATTGGCTGAAAATGTAACTCCTGATCTGCAGAGGCTTGCCAGGACAAGAATATCTCAGCATCCAAAAGTACACTGTC